GGGTACATTTGGATATCACAACATTCTCTCATCTTTAGTAGATAGGCGTACACCGATCAGATACAGGGCATTGGTATCCGATCTGTGTGTGGTCCCGATCAACAACGGTCAATAAGTCAAGCCCGATAGCTCGACGGATAGGGCGTTTGCCCCTGATCGGAAAGACGCGGCTTTGAAACTCGAGGGTGGCGGCAATTTCCGCTGATACACTGGGGTAGAGTGTCGCCTGCTGAGGACGGCAAATAAGCCAGAAAAGGCCTTCCAGGAGGCAAAAAATATCCTAAAAAGTAAATACTCTCATCTTTCTGTGAGGAAAGGCGAAGGCTGCTCAAGCACCAGAACACTTTGTTTATTCCGTTGACCCGACTGTGAAAATATTCTCGCCCTCGGTGGCCGTCGAACCCATACAGAAGGGAAGGCTTTTGCACAGTCCATAATTTACCTATAAGGCTTATCCTTCGCTGTGAATTCGATCACACTTGGAGCAGTTGTACCCTTCCAAAATACTTCTTGCATGGAACCCACCTGTACATAACAGTTGGGTGGGTCAAATCGATCTAGTGTGACTAAATTCATGGAGCATGGTGAGACTCGTGACTCAGTGGTAGAGCTTTGGCTGCGAAAAAGCGTTCCGTGCCGTGCGGGTTCGACTCCCAGTGAGGTGGCGAATTTGTCACAACTGGGTCAGTTGATGCATCACAGGAAGCTCAAACTTGGTACATAACTTGTTCTCCAAGCAACTAACGGAACGGCAACTAAGAGTGCTACAGCATGAATCAAGAATCGATTAAATCCCAGTCATCAGTCGGACTTAGTTTATCGCATACCATATTTAAACTCTCCCGTAAATTATAAGGGACAGGCTGGACGCATGCTGGGTTCGCGCATACACGAACATCAGTTGGCTGTTCGACGGGCTGACGCGTTATCGCACGTGGCCGCCCAGAACTACGAGACGGGTTAAGAGTTCAACTTCGCAGCTGCGAGGATAATTGCTCACGCAAGCAGCAAGACGGGCTGAGAACTGATTGAAGACTTGGCGTCCCATGACAGCTCAGTTAACCGATGCATCGCGCAGGCGCGCGCATATGTTGTCCTGCGCAGGCACCTCCAGACTCAGGGCACGAGTAGTTCTGTCCCTCCCTTCTTTCACCCCCCTCCCCGCCCCTATGTCGTTTAATTGGCCCCTTCCCCTGTAAATATGCTTGCTTTCGTTGACGGTTAATTGGTCCCTTCCCTTATACATGTTGCTTGCTTTCGTTGACGGTTTTGTATCTTAACATGGACTCCCGCGAGAGTTCGAAAGCTCAGACTAATA